TTCCCAAATAATGATGTGTGCAAGATAAATGTGGACTGCTGCACAATGTTTATAGTTCAGTATATTCAACACTATAAATATCACCTCGTCTAAGGCAATGAGATTTTTTAAAATAAAATTAAAATCATGTATTTCTTAGTGATTTGTGAATGTGTTTGATTAATTAAACAATCTGGTATCAAGTCCAGTGGCTGGTAAATTTGGATCATTGTCCAAAACATTATTTTAGCTTTTTCAGATGTTGACTTGTCTGCTCTGTATTTACAGCATTTTCTGCTTTCCAGATTCAGATTTCCAACAAGGACAGCGGAAGCTTTTCTTTATCTCTATAGATTAAAAAATACCCTTGTGCTTTGAGGGACCACAGAGTTTTTTTTTGACAAGAAATTCACGAAAACAATTAAATGTCCCCAAAATAATAATAATCCTATTATTTGACATAGAGCCTTTCATTTTTGGAAGGGCTTCCCAAACATCTTCCTAGGATTTACTGTAAAGTTAACTGACTGTGTACTTCACAGGCAAATGCAGGTGGTGAAGGAGCTATAATTCGGTACACAGTAATCAAGTGAAACCAATACAAAGTTCTGAAATAATGATAAAACAGTAAATGCAATGGATCTTAATTTGAATGGAATATTTGTAATTGCTTTTGTGAGGCAATAAAATGCACACAGGAAAAGTGAAATAAAATGAAAGCACTGTCCACATTTTGAATGTCATATAATTATCTGAACTCCGTTTCTCTCTTTGGAGGATGAACATATTTTATTTGTGGACCAGGGCCTTCTTAAAATTGGTCTAATTACATAGGTGTAGTTGCAACCGAACATTAATCTGAACTATGTTCAGCATTTCAATTCAGATAAAAAGTACACTGATTCGAGCAACAACAATAAAATTACATTTGTAGAGTGCCTTTCACGTCGGGAGGATGTCCTAAGGTGCTGGACAGTCAGTGTTTTGGACCCGAGCTGGGGGTCGGGATCAGGGATGGAGGTCAGGGAGGGGAGGGAAGGTGATCAAAGGCACGGTGTGGAAGAAGAGGGCCTTGAGTTGGGTCTTAAAGGAGGCAAGAGAGGGGGCGATGCAGAGGGACTGCGGGATGGAGTTCCAGAGCAGTTTATAACAAAACAGGGCTTTCTTGTTTCAGCCATTTTCTGCAACATTCAATTTGTTTTTCCAACTTGGATAATAATAATAATCCTCGCATTTTCTATAGCACATCACGTCTTCTCGACATCTCAAAGTGCTTCACAGAATAAACTGTAAAGTGAATTGACTGTATATTTGTGGGCGAAACGCGGCAGCCAATTGCGCACAGCAATGTCCACAAACAGTCGTAGATTGAAAATGACCAATTTAATATTGCTTTTTGTTTTGGAGGGATTATTATTAGGTGTGTGGAGTAAGGAAACTTGCCCAAGGTTTCGTCCTGCCTGGAATTGAACCCAGGTGTCTTGCTTGCAAAGCGAGTGCTCTAACCACTGAGCTACAGGACTCTACAGAATATACTGCAAAGTGAAATTACTGTATATTTTGTGGGTGAAACGTGGCAGCCAATTGCACACAACAGTGTCCCACAAATAATAATAATAATCCTTGCATTTGATATAGCGCTTTTCACCTCTTCTAGACGTCCCAAAGCGCTTCACAGAATATACTGTAAAGTGAATTGACTGTATATTTGTGGGCGATCGCAGCAGCCAATTGCACACAGCAATGTCCCACAAACAGTCGTAGATTGAAAATGACCAATTTATTATTGTTTTTGGTTTTGGAGGGATTATTATTAGGCTCTGTGTGGAGTAAGGAAACTTGCCCAAGGTTTGGCCCTGCCTGGAATTGAACTCAGGTCTCTCGCTTGCAAAGCGAGTGCTCTAACCACTGAGCTGCAGGACTCCACGAATAGTCGTGCATTGACGTGACCAACTTATTATTATTATTTATTTTATTACAAATAGAGCAAAGAGCCTGTCATTAAACAGAGATTGTAACGATAATAATCCTTGCATTTGATACAGTGCCTGATCATTGAGACATTGCAAATCGCTTCACAGAATATATTGTAAAGCAGATTGACTGTGTATTTTGTGGGCGAAATATGAATCAGCAATGCAATTTCAGCATTTCATAGAAGTTCCAAGCTCCACATATGGAAGAAACATGGGAATTGTGCTTGACTCAATTCTATCTAGACCATGCTGCCCACAACTTGTTACATATGTCTAGAAGATTACATTGCAACATTTATGTTGATTTTGTTTGAAGAATTATGATCCTAGTCTTCCTATATAAATTTTAAAAAATTTTATTCTGTGGGTTTATCTGAAGGAAATAACTTTTTGTTGAAGGCACAACATTGTATACACATGATATGCCTTGGAGAACACCGGAGTGCATAAATTATTTTTAAGTTCAGTCTCAACACAAAAGCTTATGAGAACTCACAGAAGCAGAGCTTCTGATTGCCAATTCTGGCAGAAGTCAAGGCATTTTAATAATCCTTGGTGCATTTGATATTGTGCCTTTCATATCAGGAGGACTTTACAGAGTTTACTGTAATGTGTAGTGATCGTGTATTTTGTAGGCAATCACATTATCAATCTTAAACTGTGTTTTGGGATACTGCTGGAATTTAAGCAACTAACTACACTGTTTCATTATATTTTAAAATGTTGTGCCAGTATTAGGCAACTCATAGCATCCTGATTCTGGCGTATTATTATTATTATTATTATTATCCAGTTAGGAGCACAAGTACTGGTTTACAGGATTATCAGGAGATGAGTCGGAAGAATCCATTCTTCCAGTGACGTATTTAGCCTTCCAAGTCCCAATGATGAACTGGGCAGAATAGATATTCATCAGCAGTGGAGACCAGATGTGTGGTATAAGTACAGTAGGCAGCATTTTGCATGAGCTCATCAGCAGGACACAATAGCCACAAATGTACCTACATTCAGAGGTAACATTGGCACACAACTAATGGTACAAAGTGAACCGGTTGTGAGCCCCAGCTTTGAAATAACTCACACCATATTCGAAAACATTTTGAAAGGTTTTAAACTAGGGAAAAAAAATATAAAATATAGGTCGCAACCATATTTTCATATATTTAATGAACTACATGACACTGCAAGAGAACCATTCCATACACAATAATTCTTCTCCCTTCTTCAGCTTCTCCCCCACCCCACCCCAGCTTGGATAACACAGCCAGGTATGTAAAGTGTTTTTAGATATCTTCCTGACATGAAAGACGTTCTATAAATGCACAATGTATTGTATCCTACTGCATGCACTAACCCAACGTTTTAGTTTCAGGGCAGAAAAAGCAAAACCCAGATGAATATATATTTGTGCATTTGTAAATATTCTGCACTATTTGCTGACTTCATACAAAAAAACAGAATCTCGTAAAATGTTTGCCACACAGAATACCAGACTGAGCACGTATATTCCTTTTCCATACTTCAACAGCAAGCACCAGCATGGGGACAGACACTGTGCTGTAGAAATTGCTGAAGAAGCAATGCATTTGTTTAGCCTTAAAACCTTTAGCCTTATCTCAGCCTTAAAAATACTACTACAGGAAAGTAACTAGCTGCCAGTTATTTACCACACTGCCTTTTTTAATTGTACGTTTCAAACCATTTCACTCATCACGTTAAAGAGCTATAGCACATGAATCATATTCACTAATTAAATAACTGTACGCTTATTTCAGATTTCCCACACCATCATTAAACATCTATTCCTTGATATAATCATAAAAATTGCAGCAAAGAAGCTGGTGGTAGCTCTTCCAGTGAAGCCAACAACTCAAATCTCAATTCCCTGCTCATTTGCTGAATGCTTTTGTATTCTTCATCTTCAAATGTTTACCTAATTCACTTTCAAATGCTGTTATTGCATCAGCCTCAATAGCCACTTATGACAAAGCATTTCATGCCTTTCTGCATGAAAATGTTTCTTCTAGCTTTCCTCCTTGACTCTTCAAGTGGCAATCTTTTGATCCCCTTTTAAAGCTATATTATAGATTTACCACACTGCTGGAAAACCTTTCACTATTTATCTTCTCAAACCCTTTCAGAATTTTTAAGATCATATTATGCCAATGTTTTTAAGCACAGGACAGATTCTGGCAATTATAAAATGAGTAAATTAAGTATGTTTGCTGTGCCAGTGTTTCATTGAGAATAACAATAGCCTGGATGAATTACTGCTTCAAACTGTTTTGGTGATCAATATATGAACGAAGCAAGGCTGCACCTAATTGTCTGTATTTTTTATTGTTGGTGTTCTGCACAGTGAAGGGGACTGCCCAGGAGGTCATTGGGAATAAACAAAGGGTGTTTGGCGACACAAGTACATTTGCACGATGGGCTTCTGATATTGGAGGTGCAGAATTACAGGAAATAATTTGTTTGTATAGCTTATGTTACAAGGATGTAGTTTTCAGGAAATACAGGGTAAACAAAGCACTCTGAATATATTATGTGGATAATCATAGATTTTTGTGGGATATTACAGATACATGTCCATTATAGAATATATTTTGAGCCAGTAAACCTTAAACCATTCATATATTGTTTGTGAAATTAGACTAAAGTGAACAAGGTGGACTGGCCATAGAGACACTGAAAGAGGACAATATTACAGGTTTAACAGTACCTTAAAATGTAGTATCATAAGCACAGAACAATAATCTACACTGTCTATCTTTAGAATTTGCAACATATCGGATACCATTGTCAGAATCTATTGTGAAGAAGTGCATTATGTATATTTTTTGCCACAAAATATAGTCAATTCACTTTGCAGTCTATTCTGTGAAGCGCTTTGAGACGTGTCAAAAACGCGATAAGTTGCTGTATAAAATGCAAGATTATTATTATGATGTAGAAATAAAACAAAGACAAAAGACAATTGAATAATGTCATCAGATAAAACCTGTGTTTTCCTTTTAAGAAAGTACCTGTAAAGGATAAGCACTGTACATTTCACAAATTGATTTTATTAATTTAAACACAAAAGTCATGAGAAAAGTCGGTACAGGTTTTTTGCAGACACAACACACCTTTTTTTTTACATGGCCCGGTGATCTGTTGGTTTCCAGTCATTCTGATTGCAAAAAGCAAAATCATAAACCACTGTCTTATTATTGATTTAATCTTTCAGTTAGTAAGTATTTAAATAGTCCACTGTAGTCTTGTTCTAGCAGAGGTACTTGTAATGTTAATTTCCCCTCATGAAAAGGTAGACTCCTTTGTATTGTTGAATGATTTCTTGATTGAATGAATTGTTGTAACAAATAGCTGTACGGCATTTATCAAATAACAAGCTTTTTATGTATGTACATGAGCTGTAAACCAACAGAACTGAAGTCTCTCTATAGTGATCACAGGGGAGTTCTATGTCAGGCATTTGTCAATGTAAGCTAAGATTTATGTTTATTTGATAACTTATGCAAATTTGCAATACAGTTAGTTTAAGCTAACAGGGATAAATTTTATAAAACTTACCAAATGAAAAACAGCTTTTCTCTGCCTATCAACAAATGAGCTACATAGAACACATAGAACAGAATAAACTCCATGTATGGAGGAAAAGAAAAGTGGAAGGGAATTATAGTTAGAATTGCATTCACAGTAAACAGGCCAAAGCTTTTTGTCTTCTGTAGTCCGAAGTGCCAAAGCTTTAAAAGGTCCAAGACCTCAAAAAAAAATCTCAGTCAACAGCATAGAATGTTAATAATATTTTTCATGAAAAATGGACACTACCAAAATAGATCAGACCCAATTACACAAGAAAAAGTCTATAATGTTCTAACATTTCTTGCTTTAAAAAATCTACACGTTAATTTCCTAGAGTATTTTCATACAATAGAATGTAGATGCTACAAGGGCTTTAGCTTTCAGTAAAATAATGCTCATTCTAGTTGGTAATAAAAGAAAAGCTTTCATAATAATAAAAAATATACTATATCTTCTACATTCTTTGTGTATGAAGAGATTCAGGAATTATTCTCTACTTTCTTTAAGCAGAGCTGTTAATGTATGGATGATGCAAGATGGATGAAAATTAATTTAGGAAAATGTGAAAGGCTAAAAAAGAGAGATAAATCTTTTTGACACTTGACATCCATGCTTTTGGTCTTGACAAAATTCTTATCACAAAAATTCCATTATCTACATATTTACCCAACAGAAAGTTGCACTTTAACACACCAACACTTTGATAAGGCACAGCACATGTGCACACAATGCCTTGCTAAACTTATACTTCACAAATTAGGCATTGCTACCTTTCCATTGCATTTACCTTAACAAAATGTAAAATAATTGTCTGATGATTACAAATTTACACAAAATGACATTTTTATATACATGATTGTCTTAGCAAAGTAAATAGCCATCTTAAATGATAAGACAAACCATTTTTCTGTAAACTACTTTGTGACATGACAAAATCAAATGTGCTTGCTGTGTCAAATGATAAACATCTGATTAAGTACCTTCATAAATGATGTTAACACTTAACAGTCAGTTCATAAATAAGGACAGATGTACCCCTGGCTATCTGTAATCAGGGAAGCAAACTTTCTCCACAAGCAAAAAAAACCCACTAGCAGTTGTCCAACTCAATTTTTAGTGTAAGATTTACATTTCGTCTGGCAAATATAGTTTGTTTCCTTACCGAAGTCTTAATCTTACAGTTATTAACCGTTGAAGCACTGGTATCTGTTCTGAAAGCCGTACAGAGTTCTGGTTGATTCAGCAGGGTAAAGGTTAAGCATCTTCCGTTTATTCTCTTCACGGGGATGAACTCTTGTAGCAACATAACAACAGTTAAACATTGTTCAACATTATGATGGCTTCTCACTGTACGCATCTAATCCACAGTCCTTGGGAGTCACCAGCTGCTTTGACAGAGATTCATTCTCCTCCATTTAAAGGAAGGTTAAGGGTTAAGACAAATTGCAGCTGTATGTCAACACTTGGGACACATCACACAGTTTGGAGTTAGAAGCTGATCAAGACACAGTACTGTAGTCCATTGATAGTGAGGGTGGAGAACTTGTGTTTCAAAGTGCCGATATACTGCTACAAGTACTCCAATTCCAGGGCATGATGTAGAGACATAAGGTCAGAGTGGCTTGAGATCCTCCAGAATGGCATAGTGTGCTGCGAACAATACAAACAGGAAATCTGAGAAGACTGCATAACCGCTGCTCTGGCTAAACAATTAATTGTTTGAAATGCCAACTCTAAACAAGCCAAAGGTTCAAGGTTGTAAACTGTGACAGATAAATAATTGGTTAGAGCTATTAAAAGCCTGCTACCATGTTTTCATTGAAAGTGTCATAGGGTTTCTATTTTTAAAAGAGATTAAAATATTAAACTGCATTTGACAAGACAGCTGAAAAAGCAGAGATATGATATAAGTCCTTTAGCATTAACTTTTTGAACATTAATTAATATTTTCTGTGTTTCATTATGTATATAATAATCCTTGCATTTAATAAAGCACTTTTCACATCTTCTAGACGTCTCAAACCCTTAAATCCAGTATGGATAATCCAAATTAATACAATTAAAGGTGATATGAATTACCAAAGTTCTTTTTATTTGGGGAAGGCGGCAGTGCATTCATTGATATTTCTCTTTCCTGGAACATGATTTAATAAACTATTTATCAATGAATTAAATTTACTTCAGGAAGACCTGACTCATTTGAGGAATGATGTTTGTGTCAATCGGTCCTGTTCACTACAAAAACAAATGCATTCATTGTAGAAATACGACTCTCAGGTGAATTAGGAGACCTTGTCAAGAAATGACTTGAAATCTTTTCCGTGGATCATTACCAAGCCTTACCAAAGGTAAATATTCTCAGAAGGAATACATTCCAATCCCTAATGCTTGTGCTGACCCAAGAAATGGCCTTTTCCCTTTGTTGTGTAAATTTCCTATACTGTAGAGGATGAAAACTTTTTCCATTAGCTATCAATTCAGATGCATCTCATCAGGACAAATGTTCAAATATACCCTATTTACATGTATACTTTTAAAATAAAGATATATAAGTTTGGGTTTCCTACTTTATCTTGTTAAATTTCTTTTCTAAGGAATGTTTTAACCACAATAACTTTCATCAGTTACTTCTGGGAAAGATTGAACTCTTTCCTTAGGGGTTCTTTGTGGATAGTATATTAGCTCATCCCATTATATCTCTGCCATCCAGACATTAACTCATCACCATTGCTTTCTTTATTTTAAACTAGGTATTTGTTAAAAGAACTTGCAGTCAAACAGTTGCTATTTTCCATGAACATATTGCAAACATGAATTGTGCTAAGATTACTGATGAGTTTAGTAATGCAAAATCTAAAAGGAGAATTCTGCCTGCCAAGGTATGGAACTTTAATCAGTAATCTGCATTGTTCCATTGCTTGGGCTCCCAAAGAAAGGGCTTGTTGGAGCATGCTACTCATTTCTAATGCCTGCTAAGAACTCCCTTTTTGAAAGGTTAGAAATAATAAATACTGCCTCATTCTTGCACCTAGTAATTTTGAAGCTTTCTCACTCTTCATTACCTCTAACTGCAGTTTGAATTAAGAAAAGCTACCTGTCACATCAATAGGTCAGGTCCATACCTGTTCCTTAATTAGCATTCTAAGTGATGTGGTTATTGTGAGGGAATTCAGTTTACATCAAAGCCTTTAAAAGGCTGAATACACATGTCTTTCTACTGGGTACATTTACATCAATCTCTTAATTTCAACAACAAAGAAATGTGGTGTCTGATGCTTAAGTATCTTAAGAGCATTCATACAACTAACTGATTTACAGAAAAGCCAGGTAACAGCCGAATGCCATTCTCTTTTTCATAACTCACCATATACATAAATCTCCCAATTTCAACAAAAATGCAAATGTACTTTGAGTTTTTCCTGTGCTTACTATTAATATGAGGAAACATTTCTTCACTCAGAGGGTAGTGAACTTATGGAATTCACTACCCCAGAAGGCTGTAGATGCTCAGTCCTTGAACATTTTCAAGGCTGAGACTGATAGATTCTTGAAAAATAGAGGGATTAGGGGATATGGGGATAGGGCAGGTAATCAGAGTTAGGTGAGAAGATCAGCCATGATCTTATTGAATGGCGGAGCAGGCACGAAGGGCCGAATGGCCTACTCCTGCTCCTAATTCTTATGTTCTTATGCTCAAAATGACTTAACATCTAAGACATGCTAAACTGATGGAAGCATTTTATCATTGTAATTAAGAATATATATATATAATTAAAATCGCTATGCTTTCTCTAATAATAGCACATAGGAATGAGCATTTAAACTTTAAGATGGATCTGTTAGTCAGGGAATGAGTGAAGCAAGTCTAACGAAAAGCCAGAAAACCTATAGTCCTTCATGAATTACTTGAGAACCTGAAAGCAATTAGCAGGAATGTAGATGATGGGGAGGAAATGTTAGATGCAGATCTCCTCTACACCACTGGGAAGTTCAATACAGCTTCACTAAGTCACCAGAGTGTGAGTACACCAATAGATCAGCAAGGAGCTTGGATACACCTTCTGTGGACCACCTTTAATTCACCTCCTTTAGGTCTCAGGGCCTTGGGACGTCCTCCTGATGTGAAAGGCGTTTTATAAATGTCATTTTGTTGTTGTTGTTGTTGTTTAGATGATCACAAACATCAACACTTCTCATGACTATCAGGAACTTCAATATCTTTCCTCCAGAATGGATTAGTGGGCACTATACAGTGAGGGGAAGATTATTTTCCTTCTCCAATTATCTTCCTTCCACTTCCTCTCATGAATATGCTATGCTCCTTTTCCTTCTACTGCTGTCTGTTTCATATCAGAATGGCTATTATTCATTTGTGAATCTTGTGATCGATAACTGGCTATTCCATGGATAGGCAAGGGGGATAAAGCTGAGCCTGCCCTCATGCAATCATACACTTGCAGCTTGCAGCAGATGTCTCTCGATAGAGATCAGAATGATGTCCCCTCCCTAATCCACAGGTGCTGAGGCTAATTGTACCCCCCAACCACTGCCCTGTCTAAGCAGACTGGAATTTGAACTTGCACCTTTCTGATAATAAAGGCATGTAGTTACATTGGGCATTGTCGTCATCCACTAGTTCATTGAGGAAGCAGACAAAGAACCTACGAAAGTACAGACTTTCATATTTGTAACCGTCTTTGAGCTCTTATGGATTTGAGTCCTTCAGTCCCCCAAACTTGTGTCTGCCATGAATAACAAATGGTAAACAGCCAGGCACAGTAGTAAACAAGATTGCAGGCTGGAATTTTGGCCACAGTAATGCTGTTTTAATTAGGATATGCATATGCATAAGAAATTAGTATAAAGAAAGTCATAAAATCTGAAATAATTTACCTTTTTAGATGCCTGTTCTTCTTCAACGCCATCTCCCACAACAACATAAACTACTTTTCTGCCAAATCTTTGAATTATTCGTTCAAAGCAGCTTTCCTTCCCTGAAGTGAAAGAAGCAAATTGTAAATGTAAAAATTTCTATTCCACTGTAGTTAAGTGATTCAAGTACCACAGATAAGGATTTTAGCATTGGTCTGGTCTTCATAACTCCTTAAGCGATAAGCTGCAAGCCTCAGCTATGCTATCATAAAGAAACACAGATGACACAGTTGACACCAAGCCTAGCAGAGAGGTATTTTTTCCCCCAAATGAAAAGAAAGATAATAATCCCTCAAGAAAAAAAACAGTGATGAAATTGGTCACTTCAATCCCTGGCTGTTTGTGGGACACTGCTGTGCGGAATTGGCTGCCGCGTTTTGCCCATAAATATACAATCAAGTCACTTTATAGTATATTCTGTGAAGCACTTTGAGAAGTCTAGAAGACATGAAAAAGCGCTATATCAAATGCAAGGATTATTATTATTATTATTATTATTATTATAATAAACTGTCAGTTTCTCATTCTGGACCAATCTCAGGTATTTTCTAGTGGACACTTTCAAAGCAGCAGATTTAGTTGGAAATCACAAACCTATCCCCTTAACTGATTACATGGTGGATTGTGGGTTAACTTGGAGATCAAAGGAGAGGCTAAGAGGATATTTTTATTAACCAAGTTTCCAGAACTCTGCAGCCCGTGTCCTCTCCCGCACCAAACTTCGTAATCCCATCTCCCCCATTCTCGCCCGACTCCATTGGCTCCCTATCCTTCAGAGGATCCAGTTCAAAATCCTAGTCCTCACCTACAAAGTCCTCCATGGCCTTGCCCCACCCTACCTCTGCGACCTCCTAACCCCCTACCAACCTGCCTGTTCCCTCCGCTCAGCCGGGTCCGGCCTGCTCCACGTCCCCCGACCCACCCGCCCCACCATTGGCGGGAGAGCCTTCAGCCACTCTGCCCCCAACCTCTGGAATTCCATCTCCCAATCACTCCGCCTCGCCCCCTCCTTAGCCTCCTTCAAATCCTACCTCATGACCCTCCTCTTCGACCATGCCATCGGCCACCCCTCTTCCCCTCCCCTCCCTTCTCCCCCCACTCTGACCCCAGCTCGGGTTTGAAATGCTGTACACTGTCCAGCGCCTTGGGACGTCCTCCCGATATGAAAGGCGCTATACAAATGTAATCTTGTTGTTGTTTTGTTTAAGTGAACATTTACATACATGTAAAAAAAAACATTGTCATGAAAATAAATAAAATACACTAAAGCTTGTTCTTTAACAAATGAATAAATTCAATGAATTAATTTGATGAAGTTCCAGATATTAAGATCATAAAAACGTAAGAATTTACTAGGCGAAAGAAGACTTAAGTCCATTTAGTTCGCCTTCCACCATCCTGGCAGTCGATTATCATGTCCCAAACCATATACTGTATCCCAAGGTATTATTTTCTAGCAGGAATCTATCTAATTTGTTCTTGAAGCAAACAGCATTTTCTGCTTCTGCAGTTTCCCCAGGGAGCCTGTTCTATAAGTTTAACACTACAACAAAAAGTGATTTGAAACATATATCTGTCAAATCTTTTATTACTCACCTATTTTTGTTGCACTATATATATTTTCAATTGGAAAAACAATTCCTAATCCATACAACAAGATTTTGGCAAGAGCAGGTATCAGCTGCGTTGTTGTTACTAAAATATTTACACAATTTGACCTGAAAGACAAGATAATATTTGGGGTATTGTTAAAACCTATATTACAAAAAGTGTACAATACATGCAGTTTTAAAAATAGTGTATCACTCTGTTTCAACTTAAGTACTATAAATTGTTTGATATTACTGTGATGCATTCAATGTTCAATGACACAAAATATAATGAAGAAAAAGTTAATTATTTTTTTGTGAGAATAAAATTCCCTGTAGGTAACATATTTTCTAGGACCTCCCCATGCTAAATGCAAGCCCCAGCTGCAGTAGGTGACGAGCCCTGACTGAGGTGAGAACCTTTAATATTGCATTCATCATGTGATGAAGTTATGGCTTCTGCTCAATGCTTCCCCACTACGGTGCGGCTAAATCAGGGATACGTATTATGAGTGTGGGTGTGACTATGCTTTCTAGCATTATGTGCCTCTCCAATGTGCCATATCACTGAACAACCCAATGCAATAAAAACAGAAGTCACTAGGAACAGGCAGCATCTATGGAGAGAGACAGCATCCTCTCTCCACAGATGCTGCCTGACCTGCTGCGTGTTCCCAGAGACTTCTGTTTTTATTTCAAACCAGCATCTGCCGTATTTTGCCTTTTACCCAATGCAACCTTTTTTTAAAAAAAACTATAAAAGTGTAGCAGTTAAATTATAAGAGAACTATTTTGAAAGGTCTCTCCATTGTAATCCCTTTTTTAGTATGTCCCTCTAATGAAAAAAAATGCATTTACTTTTGCCAGCAGAATAACCCCAGTTTACTGCATATTGTACATTCATTCCTGTGCTCACCTTGAATGAATGAGTGTGAGCACTTTCAGTGCAAGCGTTAACCATGAATCTGTCAGAGCTTCAATTTCTGCTCGCAATTGTAACCATGATTCCCTTTTAGTTGGACCAAGGAGACCTGGAATTTAGAGAATGTTATTTACCCCAAGATATCAGATTTAAAAAAAAACAAAATCGCTTGAAACGTATTTTTCTCATCAAACGCCCTGAAAAGAAAGAACTCTATTTGCCACTTTGTAATCCTAACATATAGCTAAAGCCAAACAACTTCAAATACGGTTGTTGTACTTGGGAGCCAAAAAAGTAGTCACAAATAGAACAATAACTCAATTTATCCTTTTTTTTTATTTGTCAATTTTCTCCTTTTTTGAAAGAAGTTGGGATCCTACAGATTGTGGCAACTTGCCCAAAGTGGCCGGTTATTATGAAGCTACACAGTGAGTGTTGGCAGATTATTAAAAAGTGGGAACTTCACAGTCGAGGTCAATCCTATCACTACCCTAAATCCACACATATGTAGTGCCCAGCAGGGAGATCACTATGTAGTAATTGGGAGGAGGAACCTTAGCTAATGTTTCTCCTCTTTAGTCCAAGAGCACTAATGTACTAACAGCAATTTTAGTGTCCCTTCTCCAATTGCTGCCTAGCTATTTTAGTACGGAATCCGAATAAAACTTCTAATCTTCTAGTTTATGTGCTACACCTCAAGAAATGCAAGAGAAGCATTGTTGAAGAGAACCCTTTGGTCATCTGATCTAGGGCAATCCAATCTTAAACAAAACACCTATGCCTACAAAATACAGTCACTACACTTAGGAAATCCTGTGAATCATTTTAGATCAGCCTTCCTATCAAATACAAGGATTATTGGATTATTACTATATTATTCATCAATTACCAAGTCAAAAAACGATTTTGCCATTCTGAGTTACTTGCAGGATAATAGTTACGGTGTGAAGGGTGCTATAGAAATGCAAGTTGTTGTAACAATTCCACTTTGAGAGTTAACAATAATAATAATAATTATATTATTATAAGAATAATACTTGCCTCCTACATTGTTTTTGTAGGTGTTATATATTTCTTTCACTCGTCGATAGCGAAAAGCCAACTTCCTCATCCAATCAACTCCTCCACGCACGCCAGTTGCGAGGCAAAGATTTGCACTTGTTGCTGCAGCGTGAAAGCCGTCTGTTGCAAAGTTATAAGTACTGTGTGGATAGATACAAATGAGACTCCAGTCAGTAAAGAATAGATGCTTGTCACATGTCACATCTTGTATGTAATATAGGTAATTGTTATTGTTCCATGATTGCAATACCTTAAATCCTGTCCATTATCATCTGATGACACATCATCAATGTGAACTTGATCACATTCCTGAAAAAGAATTACGAATATTAGCAAAATGAATAGTAAAACAAAGATTGAAAATGACTCCTGTTTGAGTAATTTAGAAAACACCAATGTAATATTTGGGCAAATGGTTGAATTATTTTCAGTCCTTTGCTTCATTTGGCATAACTATTAAATCCAAGTAAAAGATGAAATCAAGAAAATATTTACTTAACTTTATTTTGTGAATAAACAGAACCTAAATGTTATTATATAACTTTAAGCAAGCAGGAGTAAAATGTTTACTTTATACTTCAAGAGGACTAGAGTAATCAGTAGATGGCAGCCTTGCCAAACCACCATTTTGTTTCCCTCGCTGTAAAACATTTTCTCTTCTGCAGGATCTGCATATGGTATGAAAAACATGCTGGAAACATTTACATTTAGTAGCACTGTACTATGTACCCTGTACAGTAATACTGGAAGAATTGGCAAATATACAAAAGAATCCTGAAAAATCAAATGTTAATAAGATGACAAAATATGTTTTAAAATTGCTTTATTGATGACTAGAATAGTGTAGATGCATTAGTTCATATGTAAGAATTTAATAATTTTTTCTCTGATATATACTATATATTCATGTACGTTTTTGTGCTCTTTTCTGAATTTATTTACAGATAAATATAGGAAATAATGGCTTCCAAATGATTAACTATGGAAAATCTGAGAATTGAAAAAAGGAACAGAAAGCTATCTTTTGTGGCACTTTACTAATTTAATTCAATTGAATTTGAGAGTAGGTTTTGAATTGTTGATTTTAATTATTCTCAGCTTAAAATCCTTTTCCTATGCTTTTAAAGATGCTAAAACAGTTGCAAATGAAACTCCATATTTTCCATTTCATTCTTACAATTTTTATTTAAATACACGTTCATCTAAGTTGTTTCAGTCAATTTTCAAAGTAACAGAACACAGACATACTGTTGATGCTGCATGCTAGAAAAATTGAACCTGATGCAAACCGCCAATGAAATTATGACCTCTGATTGCTGTTGAGCCACACACCAACATTGCCTGAGGCTTGCAATTAAAAGGAACGTAGTCAAAAAAATCTGTAACCAGTTTGCCATAGATGCTCTGTGCTCATGTTTGTTAAATTGTATACAGCAAAAGCGTTTAACACTGGGCACTGCTAATAATGCTCACTAGACCCCCTCTATTAAGCTGTATTAGGAACCATACCAAATTTGTGTTATAGAAGTGAGGGGCCTGATATAGGGATGGCATTTTACATTGTTTTTCTGTTAGAGGGAGAGCCAGAAGCTAGATGCTATATCATAAGTTATGGTAAATTTGACAGTCCAACAATGAGGGGCGAGTGTAGCATAATTTATAGCATGGAAAGTGTGTCATTAGTTGTATATCATAATTCTGAAAAGGTATTTAGATTTGCTATAAGTAATACTTTACACTCATGAACATTTCACTGGATTTCTTAAAAGACAAATTTTTCACCTCCCTAGATTTGTGGGTAAGGGAGGGAGAAGAGTGCAGAGAAACTAAAACCAGCTGTTCCTTAACAGAATTAAAATCCTGACCCTCAACCTCTGTTCTAATACATCTATTCTGCAATCAAACCTCTCCCAGCAAGCAGTGAGAGCCAAAGAGGAAAAGACTTTGACCCTGTAACCTTCTCCTCCTCTCCAGAGGTCAACAACTTCAGATAAGAGAGAAAGAAAGTCAATGTGGCCTCACAGGAGGGCTGTGAATTTAACATTTTAAAACATAAGCCACCAATTGAAGACATGGTTCAGGAACTTTCTAAGTTGTTTGTTTAATCTGTTTTGTGACAACTCATGAAGGACTCTAATATGGTGGCTTCGCCAATTTGTTATGGGCAGAATAGATTCAACAGTGAATACTAGACACTTCTGGGTGTTACAAATAATTTGCAGAAAAAAAACGAGTCTCCAAAGCCATTGGGGGGGGGGGAATATTCATTTGCTTCCAGACTACCACATAGAGCTTTAATCCTGCAAAGCAGGAGTGCTTGTGTGCAGAGGCAAAACATGAAATTACACAGTTAACATCATTAGAAGCAAAGCCCCTTCTTCAGGAGCTATTTAGTGGAACTGCCAGTACCCAATTACATACTAATTGCCTGTTAATGAATCTATTATGGCTATTCTTCTTCAGCATCCTGTGTTTGTTTCCTCCTACTTGCTTTATTTGAATTGTCAGACACAAGTGGAGGCAAGTGTTCAGAAAGTAAGGATGCAATAATTACGTGGCACCAATTGTCACTACCCTTACTATGTAAAACAGTCAACAGATTAGATCATTTGTCACATGGTTATGGTAAAAATATGGTATCTTATAAGCAATGATTGTAAGCAGCAATGGTTACATTTTACCACTGGATTGTTTCTTTATTATTTACTTTTATCATTTAATTGCTAAACAATCAGCTGTTTTTAGACTTTGTTCTATCTTCAGGGAAATTTGTTCAAATTTGTTCAAATAATAAAGTACACTTCAATTTCAAATAATTTCAAACACACACAGTGACTATTTGAAACATTTCTTCCAAAGACATCTGTATGGTTATGAATTGGTTGATAAATACACCTCTACATGTTTGAAGTTGCAGCACCCAATGTCATTTTTATATCCATTATTAAATAAAATAACTTACTGAAAATTTCAATTTTGCTACATTCAGCTAAAGAGATATTTTTATTTTTAGTGTGGTCTAAAATAAACCATTATTAAGCTCTTTTTCCCCATCTTAGTTTTGCAGCTGTAATGGTGTCAAGTGACTTGTATATTAAATAAAGGGTGTTAAAAATTTACATCCATGCAGGGAATAGAAAGTAAGTGTTTATGATTTATTTTGCCAAAGCTTTTTGGTTAAACATTAAAATAAAAAAACTAGTTTAAATTTTATATAAAACTTGTGTTGCTCTAGAAATGGGAGCAACAACAGCTGTTTATGGCACAGCACAAAAAAGGCTGCAATTGATTTAATGCACATGCATCTGTGTTGGCAATCTTTTTGCATGATATAGTTCATTTTTTGGCACCTAGCAGGAGAATAGTAAACTGAATATTGAAAAGTGCATGTGCAAGTCAGTGAAGCAAAGAATTGCAATGAATACTTTGAACATGAGAAAGAGGTCAGGAAAGCAGGCCTCACTGTTGCCTGCCATTTATCAACCTTATTCCCTCAAATTTATGAATACTACAGTTACACTTAAACTGTGGGGTGTATACCACAGTAGCGAGATTGGAAAAACTACTGAATGTGGATTGCCTTTTTGTTTCTGATTACAATTTGCTACTTTATTCAAAATCTGGAAAGGTTTGCACAGATTAGGAAGGAGTGCTCTGGGCTTCATTCACTGCACTTGCAAACAGATGGCTGAATTGATTCCCACATGCCCGTTGGCTCATGCTAAAAATGAGTGAATTCTGGGTCGCCGTTGCTGTCAATTTCTACACGCTGTGTGTGAGCAGCACAAGTTTGCAGTGACCTGAGGACCTGAAAGTCAGGTTTGTTTTTTAAGCACGTAAGCTGGTGGGGCGCTTGAAGCTGGCTGGCTGTGCACATGCACAGTGAAATCCGCTGCTGCAGTGTAATTTTAAAGCAGGTTGGGATTATTTATGTCGGCTGAGTGAAGGTGGGGTGGGTCTGGCCCATGACTGAACTCATTGGATCTCAAAAATGCTAAAGGTCTGTCTACAATGTCAAGAGAATTTTTCGGTTAATCGATAAAATAACAGGAATCTCAAGAGGATTAATTTTACTACCTTGAATTTGTATTTGGTATTTAATATTACAATATATGCTGTTCATTTAATGAGGTATATTATTATGTTTTTGGTCTGCAGCGATTGTCAGTATGGATGCTGCCTAATATGTCATTGGTGTGTGGTGACCTTCACATTGAAGATTATGATGCTATTATTACTATAAGCTTTCCAAGAAACAATTTGCAATTGGTTACTAGAACATTTTTGGTAGTATATTATTTAAGTGGTAAATTATATTGTAATTAGTTCCCAGCACTTAATAGTATACAATGCTTATTTCAATCCTGGTCCATAAAATCAGTAGAATATTGTATCAGTTTTGTGAAGACTGTTTATATCCTTTCAACTTGCTGCTGTTGTGACCTTTGCATAATTTACATTTGTGAAGGAAATCTGTTGGCACAAAAGCAGTCCCAAAATATAATAATATCACCCATTAAGTGAACAGCATTGTTCATGTTCAGGTCCAGAGGCTGAGTGAAACCCAATTCTACTGTCACACAATATCACACAAACACAATTTTCATCAGGAGTCATTGACTAACAATCAAGATTAGGAGCCTTGGCTGATTTCCCTTTCCTAGCCCAGGGATGTTGAAGTCAATATAGCACCTATAATTGAAGTATCCAATCTGAGATGAGCTAAATCAGCACAGACCAGGTTACAAACTTGCTGACATTGGTTCCATTAACCAATTCCAACCTTGAGGGGCAGAAAGTTTACCAAAACATATTTAATTAAAAATAAGTTTTAGAAAATCTTTCAGAAATAAACATTTTCTCCTTTCATACCTACTCCATGTTGTGACTTTGGCAAACCTACCCATGTAGTCACTCACAAGGCAGCTGCTGTCTCATGCTGGAAGAACCGTGCCCCAATGTGAACTGGCTAATTATTTTGAATGTTGAGCAGGTACTTACACGATGGGAAGTTCGCTGATTTTATATGGAAGGACCCTCTTTGGAGAACATGATTTACTGCAAGTAATTTCCCTTTCTCTGTCAAAGAAGTTGTCACAAAAAGACTTTGGGAGACTTCCAAAGCTGTGCTGAATGGAGGAGGGTTGACAGGAAAACTGATACATAGGCAAGAAACTAAAAAGGTTAAATGGATTTACAAGCGACTGCTTCTACTGTAGTGAAAATGATAAATCTGCTATGATCTGAAATGTTATGTACAGCTACAGTTTAATGCTTGCAAAAAAATATGTAAATTTCTGATGGTTGAA